ATGAGTAAAAGTAAAAAATGAGAGGTAAATGAAGTTATTTATATGGAGGGAATACGGAAGGCCAAAGATCGCCATCTTGAGCCGTTCAAGATGCGACACGTGGCACACATCCAAGCCACCCCCTGCAATGTTCATGAAACCAAATTCTCGATGCTATAGCTCGATAATAACATCGAGAAGACGACGTCATCAGATCCTACGCACCCATCCATTGAGTATGAGCTCTACGAAGGAGTGCGCGGGGGCCAGTGATATTGCCAAGCTGAACACTCGAGGATTGGTACGTCTCGAGGACTATTGTACCTCGAGGACGTTACATAATCTTATGATTCCATTCTCAAGGTCTAGTCCTCGGGGTTTTATGGTCTTCGGGATGTTTTTCCCGAGGACTCCATTTCTCTCCCCAAAATTCATAAGTCCTTGGGGTGAAGTAATCGAGCACTACCCTTCCAACCAAACTCTTTATCTGAGCCCATAAGAAGTCTTACATTCTAAGGACTCTAATATGATTCAAACACCTCAACTCAGGACTCCTACGTCCACAAGAACTCTATGTCAACAATAGTATCATTGATCATGCAATTATATTACAAATAATATACTTTTTTCAAGCAGGACTCTATTGGATAAGAACGTCCCACTTATTCAATCCTACTAGGAGTACACTACCTACCGCTATAAATACAGACCCAGGTCCATTATTCAGGTACGTTCTACATACACAACTTTCAGCATATATTCATCTTTGAATCCCTTTTCTGACTTAAGTATCGGAGGGGCGACGAGCACACACCTCGTTGCTTTTGTTTCAAGTATTTGGAAGGCTTTGTTTGTGTCCATATCAGTCATCATCCTCGGGATCCGCAAGGTATGATTTTTGGCAGTATCAGAGGACATTCTAACAACTTGGTGCCCTGGCTTCCTCTCTTCTTCCCTACCATAATGCTTAAAAAAGGGGGAATAGTCTAAACTGTAATTAAGCTCCAAACATACAACATATATCGGGACGCAACATGAAGACGCTGTCATTTGCCTCTGGGGATTACATCTTTGCACGTAAGATGAAACGGAGGTAAGGGAAGTTATGGATGGAGTTGATTTGCTGTAAGTTCAGGGACCATTCTTAGAAATTTCAAAGTTGAGTGAGTATAACATGATAGTAGGTAAAGTAGAGTGACTCATAAAACTTTTTACTCCAAAAGCTTGCTAGCAGTAACAGGTAAGCGGCAGTGTTAATAGTGGCGTTAATCTGGGCCAGTTTTCCCAAACCCGAGATGGGCCTGATTAAAATTACTTGCAATGTTTGGGCTTATATTTTGACATTTCATCCCATCTCATTTTAGCCCTTGTTTGATTTTATGTATTTCAAAACTCTTCATTTTTCATACACATTTTTAACTAGATATTTACATGATAAAATATTTTACACGTAAATTCAATATCTTTCTTTAATTTTTTAACCATACATTCTCCAAAAGTTTACCATTCAAAACATTATTTTTTCCCAATTTCTCTTTATAATGGTCATCAAACAGGGACTTCATGGTAAGAGGAGACGACGAAGAACCTGTTTGGTATGATTTTCGCTTCTTATATAAAAAATTCTCTAAAAACATTTTAAATTAGATAAAGTACTTCAAATTATCTAAACAATTTCAAAACCAATTTCTTCGTGACAATTGCATGGCCAAATGGATGGTGAAAATCTAATCAATTAAATATGTATTTAAAAAAAAAAAAAATATTATTAAATTTTATTTATGAAATAATTGATTTAAAAAATAGTTTACTAATTAAACATATTAAGGTTGCAAATCAATGGCCTTGTTTGAACCGCATTCTTTGAAAAAAAATTATATTCTTAAATAGTGATTTGATATTATTTCAACCCCATATTCTTTTATAAAATAATATTACATGTAAATACAATTTTTTTCCTTATTTCTTAACTATAATTTTTTCATCAATCTACCATTTCAAAGTACATTCTTTCAAAATAATGTGGTTCAAACACATATAATTTGATCACAAATTATAAAATTAATTGGTTACAAAATAATTCTCGATAATAAATAAATAATTCACAAAATAAAAAATTTTATTTGTTACAATTCATTTATCGATCACAAATTATGTGCTTGTTTGGTAGATATTTTGATAATTGATTTTTTGACTGTAATAGATAAAGTGGGTCCTAATTGTGAGAGAAGAATTCAAAAATAACGATTGAAATAATGAAATAACGGTCAAAAAATTGATTTCAATTGACTTTTAAGCTATACCAAACAAGATCTATCAATTATTTGGTCACAACTTAATAAATTGCAATTCACAATTGCATTTTTTAGGTCATATATTATTTATTGATTATAATCAACTAAATAATTGATCACAAATACCCCCCATCCAATTTTATCTATCCACAACAACCACCACCATGACCACCATCGCCTCACCAAACCATACAAAACCACCATCAAAGCAATCACCACACGCTACATCAATGCAAACCACCACCACCATAGTAACCACACCCCAAACTTCGACACCATAATTGCTTCGAGATTGCGACATCACCAAATACCCTAACACCAAATCGATGGTGCTTTGCACACCACATGTGACCACCACTAACACCATAAAAATACCTCAAAAATCACCACAAAAACAACACAAAACCACCACGAAAATAACCTCAAACCACAAATATATCACAAAAACGCCACCACAAACTCATCATCGTTACTGCACACAGCGACTATCGGAGCATATGCCGCTCACTCTGAGTTCGTCGATGCTCGAGGTGAGATTTGAACAACATGCATGACGACGATTAGATCATCGCTGTGCAATGCGAACTCAAGCGCTCATCACAGTGGCTGATTAGCAACACTGGATTCACTGCCGCGTCGGCGCACAACGATGAAAGAAAGGAAAAGAGTGAAAGAAAAAATGAAATAGAGAAAAAAAAGGTAGAAGATATTGTAAAGAGAGCGAAATAAGGACGAGAACCACATATGAAAGAGAGAAAAAAAATGAGCATAAGAAATTGTAAAGGGAGAAAGAAGAAATTGAAACGGATTTAAAATTTAATTTTATAATATTATTAATATTGAATTATTTGATTTTTGTATTAACAAACTTTAAATTTGATTTTTAAAACGGTATCTTAAAAATTTTGGTTCCATGTGATTTCCACTTGATGTTTATCCCCAATTTCAATAATTCGCTTCTTCATCTTTCCCATTATGAATTTCGTCAATTTAACCCCTGTCTGGTTATTTTAAAATTCAATTTTTTGGTAAATTTTAATAAAAGTTAATAAAATATGTAATTAAATAGTTGATAGAAATTGTGAATTTAATTAAATGTGATTAAAATTAATTAATTAATTATTTTATTTTAGATTTTATTAACTTTTTTTTAGTAAAATCAGACAAAAATTGTGAATTTAATTAAATGTGTGATTAAAATTAATTATTTATTTGATTTTTATTTTATTTTATTAGCTTTTTTATTTTAGTGAAATCAGTCAGGGACTTAATTTCAGAAACTAAACCGGAAACCGGTTCGCAGTTGAAGCTGAACCGAAAAGCAAAAATAAAAGATTGAATCCAAACACACCCTAAACAAATTGTTTCTTTCCCCGCAGGTATTGAAGTGACTGGGCAGACTGGAAGACTCAGCGACTCTAAACACTGCATCCATACAGAGTTCATCGATGGATCTCGATTCACTTATCAGTTCTCTCCTTCCGTCATGGACTTCGGTCAGTCCGCCCTTTTCTCTCTCTATATATGTACGTAAGTATATTGCTGTATGTATAAGAGTACTTGTGTAGTTGTAACGACTAGTTTTTCTTTTTTCTCTGCTGAAAATGGAAAAAAAAAAAATAATGGAATAGGTTGCTATGCTGCTATCATTCTTTACTTACTTGGGAATCTCCGGATCTATTTTACCGGGAAGAATTATTCCTGGGGTGACTTTATCAGATGGCACTCGACTCCATTACCGTTGCAATGGTCATATTCTCTCTCTGATTCTACATTTGTGTTATAAATTAATTTAGATTGTTATTTATGCTAATAGGATTATAAATTAAGGAATTTTTCATGATTTTTTAAAATTTTTTTTAGGTATGTTATTGCTTCTGTTGTTAGTTTTGTCACTTGGAGCTGCTGCGGGGATAGATCTCGTGTCACCCTCGGTAAGTCTTCACGATTATCCTCCTGAGTATCTATAATATTTATTTTGGAACAGAGCCTGACTGCTGGTTGAAAATTCCCGGTCTTAATTTTTATAAATGAAACGGTCAAAATTCAACATTACATAACTTAGTTTAAAAATACACATTCTTCATCTTTATATTAACTTTTGCACATTCAGCGGTTTTTGGAAATCCATGCGACATCAGACCTTTATTTCGTAAATCATCTAGGGTACAGGAACCATTTATAGTCTGCAGATGAAAACTGGTAACCAATTTTTAGTCTACAGATGAAAACTGGTAAGTAATTTACAAGTGTAAAATCCCTTCAATGCCTTTGCTCTGTCAATCTTAGTATAAGATATTAGAAGACTGATTCAAAAGATTGTTGCTTTCAATTTTATAATTGAATAGGCTTTTCCAGATAATGTGCCTGCCAAGTGTACCTTTGTTGATTGAAAAGGAACTAAACCTGCACATACTGAAAATGTGCAACCCGAAGCGAAATAAAAGTTTGACAGGCAAGTAAATATTAAATTATCTTAAGAGAATATATGCCACCCCCCCAACCCCAAACTTGAGCATAATATTAGTTTAGTAGTGATCTCTTAGCCTCTCTGACTTGACAATAAACAACAGCCGTGGGAATAGTACTCTTGAATAGTAAATCCAAATGTACAAAAGTTATGCACGATTGTCAAAGGCTCATAAAGCTACACTTTGTTGCGTTGCATTGAAATATCCAATCTACAATATGAACTCCTAGTGTTTTGGTTCTGTATGGATGCAATAACATCATGACTATTTTGTAGGCAATTGCAGATAGAGGGCTTGAGCTTTTGTCAACGACATTTATATTCAGTGTGTTTGTAAGTTTCTATCTTTACTGCTTGTTTACTTTATTTGTGGGATTTCTAATAGTAACAGTAGTATGATGATGATGACAATTTGAATTGACAATCATATTTTGTAAGTTGGTTAGGGTTTTGCACATTAAGGAGAAACTGATCGAGTGTATTCAGCGAAAGCTGTGAGATGCAACAGCTAGCAAATTGATTGAACTAGTGTCAATAGTGAACTTAAAGAAAGAGGTTGACTTTATATCATGTTGGTGAGGTATTGAGAAGAACTTTTATATCTGTGGTTTAACGCTGGAGATGGCCCTTGCTAGGGAGTAGAAGAAGACATACCATGTAGTCAAATTTTAATAAGTATTGGACGAGGTTTAACCAACTCGAATCAGGTTTTTAACATTGGATGATAAGCAATAAGTGGTTTATTTAAAATGTCAGTATCTAATAACTATGTTATTTGCTCTCAAAGTTCTCTTTTTTCCCTTTTAAAATATAATCAAGTTTGTTGTAGAGAATGAACAGTGGAACTTTGTAGCTATGGCTATTATGATCATTGATGACATGAAATTTGTGTTGAATAATTGATACTATTGAAATTTCCATAGCGCTGATTAACGTCTATGATCTCCAACTGTTTAGTAGTTGTATTTTCTTATATATCGCAGTATTTTTTTTTCCCTCTCTTTTTAATTTATTTAATCCATACATTGCCAGGTGACTTTGATACTCTATTTGACTGGCCGTCAATCCCGCAACCAAAGTTCTTCGCTGAAGCCCCATGTTACAGGAAACTTGATCAATGACTGGTAATTCAATCCTCTCCTTTGATATGCAGACTTTTAGTCAAGGTTTCTACTAGCCTTTAAGTTAAATGTTGTAATTTGAGTTTTACAGTTAAGCTGCTGCCATCCTATGATGGTAGCTGGCTTCTTGATAGACAACATATGTATTCAAACCTTATAAGAACTGATGACTCTAAATGCTTTAAATTGGAGGGGATTATAGAACTCCAAATAAACTAGTTAAAGATATCTGGGTTATATGAGTGATTACCGTTGTTTTTGGAATGAATTGATTTTTTACCAATCATGCTCACAGAGATTATATTGGGACAAGATTGTCTTCCAAAGTCCAGATCAATTTCTCCTTCTAGAGCAGTGTTTCTAAAGAAATTGATAATTTTCCTCTTATTCCATAATGGAGAAATCTTACAAAATAAATAGAAGAGAGAACATAATCCCAGCATCTAATAATGGGATATGGTAAAATCTTTCTAAACTAATTCCTCTAAATAAGGTAAATAACTAATTTAAGAAAATTGGGAATTTGGCTAACAATCTACCCAAATCCTTCAACGAAATAATAATTAGTAAATCCCATACATAGATATTTCTGAATTTCTACACTCCCCCTCAAGTTGGATAGTAGATGTTTGTCATTTCCAACTTGGAACTCAATTCTTCAAAGTTTGTCCGAGGAAGGGCCTTGGAAAGAATGTCTGCAATTTGTTGGCGAGTGGAAGTATGCTGAAGAGTTATGGTCCTATTATCTATCTTTTCTTTGATGAAGTGACGATCTATCTCGACATGTTTGGTCCAGTCATGGTGTACAGGATTTTTTGCGATGCTTATTGTTGCTTGGTTATCACAAAACATAGTCATTGGTTCTTCTACAGAAATTCACAATTCACTTAGAAGTCTTCTTAGCCACATTCCTTCACAAATTCCATGAGCCATTGCTCTAAATTCTGCTTCAGCGTTGCTTCGAGCAACTACTAATTGCTTTTTACTTCGCCAAGTTACCAAGTTTCGCCACACAAAAAGACATTATCCTGAAGTAGATCTACGGTCTGTAACCGAACCTATCCAGTCAGTGTCAGTAAACACTTCAATCTTCCTATTTGAGTTTTTATGGAAAAATAGCCCTTTTCCTAGTGTCATTTTTAAATACCTCAAGATTCAATAAACATCTTCCATATGTTTCTCCGTAGGACTGTTCATAAATTGACTGACAATGCTTACTGAAAAACCAATAGCTGGTCTAGTGTGGGAGAGATAAATCAACTTGCCAACAAGTCTTTGATGCCTACCCTTATCCACTGGAGCACTATCATCCTTGTTTCCAAGTTTAACATATGAATCCATGGGAGTTTTTGCTAGCTTGCACCCTGACATTCCTGTTTCCTTTAAGAGATCCAGGACATTTGCTTTGTGAGACCGAGATTCCCCTGTGTGATCTAGCCACCTCCATGCCTAGGAAGTATTTCAAATTTCCCAAGTCTTTAATTTCGAATTCATTGGCTAGGAGTCTTTTAAGTCTGCTCATTTCTTTTGAAAAATCCCCTTTCACAACAATATCATCTACATATACTATTAGAATAGCCAATTTACCTTCGGGAGATCTTTTGATAAATAGTGTGTGATCAGCTTGACATTGAATGTACTCATATTGTTTGACCACTTTGGTGAATCTGTCAAACCAAGCCCGTGGGGATTGCTTTAAGCCATATAGAGACTTTTTAAGTTTGCAGACTTTGTTAGCTGTAGCAGATGTATTAAAGCTTGGAGGAATTTCCATGTAGACTTCTTCTTCAAAATTACCGTTCAGGAAAACATTCTTTACATCTAACTGATAAAGTGGTGAATCCAAGTTAGATACAAGAGATAAGAGTACACGAATGGTATTTAGTTTTGCTATAGGGGCGAATGTCTGTTGGTAGTCTATTCCGTAGGACTAGGTAAACCCTTTTGCCACAAGACGAGCCTTGTACCTTTCTATACTACCATCAGCTTTATGTTTGACAGTGAAAATCCACTTGCAACCCACTGGTTGTTTTCCTGGTGGCAGCTCAGTAATGTCCCATGTTTTGTTCTTCTCCAGTGCTTGAATCTCCTCTAAGATAGTTGTCTTCCATTTAGGTATTTTGATTGCCTCATGTGTGGAAGTTGGAACCACTACCTGATTGAGATTGCTGACAAATGCATGGAAGCTAGGAGAAAGACTCTCATAGGATACAAAGTTAGAAATAGGGTGATTAGTGCAAGATCTTGCACCCTTTCTCAAGGCAATTGGTTTGTCAAGTTCTTCACTAGGAAGCTCAATATTGATAGGCTCAGATGAGGTGTTACCCGGTAATTTTCAGAAATGTTTGAATTCGGGTTGGATTCCCGACCTTGCTCATGGCGTGTCGGATTCTTCACCCCTTCCTGTATCCTTTTCTTCCTGGAATAAACAAACAACTTTGGAGGAAAGGATGGACTTGAATTATAGGGGACATGACCTGAAATTTGTGGTGGCTCAGTTCTGGGTTGTGGAATTATTATAGTGGACACATCACTCATGATTTCGACTTGAGGAGTAGGAGAACTAGGAGTAGTTGACCTGGAATTACAGGTGTTGTAATAGCAGGGGAGATAATGTGCCATAGCTGATATTCACGTGAAAGATTCTCCCCTTGAATATCAGTTTTAGCGTAATAAGGCTGATGTTCAGAGAAAGTGACATCCAAGGAGTTGTAAACACGTCGTGTGATAGGGGAATAGCGCTTGTACCCTTTCTGATTTGGGGAATATCCTATGAATATGCATTTGAAAGCCCTGGGATTAGGTTTGCTCCTACTATGAGAATGGATATGGACATAGGCAGAACACTCGAACCCTTTCATGGGAATGGTGGAGATAATTTTCGTGTTTGGATATGATTTTAAGAGTTTAAGACTTAGAGTTTGAAATTGAGTACTCGAGAAAGCATTCTGTTTATGAGATATGCAGCTGATGGAACGGTTTCCCCGCAAAATTGTTTAGGAACTCTAGTGGTAAACATAAGTGACCTAGCAACCTCAAGAAGATGCTTATTTTTTCTTCCAGCTGCTCCGTTTTGTTGTGATGTGTTAACACAAGAGCTTTGATGTACTATCCCCTGACTTAATAGATAATCACCTAGAACTGAGGCAAAATATTCCTGTGCATTATAAGTTTTCAACACTTGTATTTTTGGTTTGGAATTGAGTTTGTATCATAGAGTTGAAAATTTTAAATATCTGACCAACCTCAGATTTCTCTTTCATAAGGAATACCCATGTGACGCGAGTGTGATCATTTAAGAAGGATATAAACCATCGACTTTCGGTTATATTTTTAATTTTCGATGGTCCCCAAATGTCTGAGTGAATTAATGAAAAAGGATGTGACTTTTTATAAGAAAGACTCGGATAAGAATTTCTCACTTTTTTTGAGAATTGACAAATTTCACATGAAAATTTATTTGAACTTTTATTCTTGAATAACCACGGAAAGAGTTTCTTAAGGTACAAAAAATTTGGATGACCTAATCGATTGTGATATAACATGATTTCACTATCTTTATTGGAAACAGAACATGACATGACGTTATTTTGAAATTAACTTCAGGACACGGCCTTGAGTGCTTGTCTATCCGAAGAATTATCAACTTTGAGGAAATAAAGCCCCGAACACACTTCAGCACTGCCAATTGTCTTCCTCGAATCCAAATCCTAAAATTCACACAGTTTAGGAAGAAATTTAGCACTGCAGTTTTGGTCACGGGTGAGTTTATAAACAGACAAGAAGTTGCAGTCAAGTTTTGGCACAAATAAAACTGAATTAAGTGTTAATTGGTCGGAGATACAAACAGACCCAATACCAACAACATTAGACAATGAACTTTTTGCAATTCTAATGGTAAGGTCTTCATTGCATGTTTTATAATTTCTAAAAATAGAGATATCACCCGTCATATGATCCGAGGTACCGGAATCCACTATCCATGGGCTTTGTTTTACTTGTTTTACATTTAGGGCATTTATAAGGTTACCTGTTTGAGCCAAAGAACCTGTACCAATCACGCTGGAATTAGATGCTGAATTATTCTGTAATTGAGTGAACATTTTCTGGAGTAGTTCCATTTGTTCTTTGCTGAACAGGTTTGGTTCTGAAGGAGTGAAATTATCGTTGACTGAGGTAAGATATCCATGGCTCTCTTTGTCATTTGAAGACCTAACAGGTTTCCAATCAGCTGGCTTACCATAAAGCTTTCAGCAATTTTCCTTGATATGACCAGATTTGTGACAATGATCACACCAGGGTCGCCCCTTCCTCGGTTTGTCAGTGTTTGTTGGTTGTCAGGAACCATGCACAGCAAGGGTAGATCCTTCTCCAGTGGATGAAGAAATTGGTGATTCCATCATCACTTTTCAATGACTTTCCTCCAAGCGAACCTCTGAAAAGGCTTCTCCGATGTTGGGCAGTGGCTTTGTTCCTAAAATTCTTCCACTTACTCCACCAAGATCCTTGTTTAATCCCATCAGGAATCTAAACACACATTTCTTTTCGATGATGTTCTTGTGAAAAGCATCATCTCCAGGACATTTCCACTTGTACACTTCAAATAGGTCAAGTTGTTGCTTGAGACGTTTGAGGGAATTGAAGTGTTGGGTTACAGAAGAATCTCCCTGCCGCAGATCATGAAGGGTACTCTCAACAGAGAATAGTTCTGATGTATTTTCAAAACTGGGATATGTTTCTTTGGCGGCATCCTAAATCTCTTTTGCTGTACTATAGAGAAGAAAATTTTCCCCAATTTCGTTAGTCATAGAGTTAATAAGCCATGACATTACCATGTTATTTTCAGATTTCCAGATTTTAAATGCTGGATCTTCTTTCTTTGGAGTGGTCATTGTTCTGGTGAGATAATCATCTTTGCTTTTTGACAGATGAACATCAACCATTGGAGGTAGTTGTGACCGTTCAATTTGTGGACGGTGATGGGAAGAGGACTGCTCTCAATCCTCCATTAAAATTTCTGATGACAGTTTCAATTTCAGAAGTGGCTTCTGATGTGGAGCTTTGCCTTTCAATTGTCATCCCGTAATTTGTCACGAGGAAGAGAGGGATTCAGAAAAGCTCTGATACCATAAAGAAATTGATAATTTTCCTCTCATTCCATAATGGAGAAATCTTACAAAATAAATAGAAGAGAGAACATAATCCCAGCCTCTAATCATGGAATATGGTAAATTTTTTCTAAACTAATTCCTCTAAATAAGGTAAATAACTAATTTAAGAAAATTGGGAATTTGGGTAAACAATCTACCTAAATCCTTCAACGAAACAATAATTAGTAAATCCCATACATAGATATTTCTGAATTTCTACAGTTTCTTATGGAGAAACCAGGTCATATGTTCCCCAATAGTTCGTTATGATTGTAAATAGAGCATTGACAAAAGTGCTACAATGAAATTTTTGTATTTTGAATGCATATAGAGGCTAAAGGAAGGGATGTTAAGAATTTCTAGCATAAAAGATATACCAAGAGTAAAATGCAGGTTTGAAGGATATCTTGAGACGGGGATGCACCTAATTGGCTAATTCTCAGGAATTTGTAGATGTATCTCCAGCGAGTTACTTCAACTGGCTTCAGATCTGGTGATTGATCAAAGTTAACATTATGACTAACAAAATAAAAGATGGATGCAGCTCAATTGGAGCTCAAGTATGTTCTGTTTGTAAGAGGAATTATTACAGGATTAGGTGGTAACCAGATGACACTAATTGTTGACATGCATAGGATGAGAGAAAATCCTAAACTTCAGACCTTACTGGACACAATTGATTTTACTGAAAAGATTCTGAATTGTCATGGCCAGTGGATACGATTGGATTACGTCAGTAGCAAACGTTTCTGGATTCTATATCCAACTTATCATGCTACATAGTCATTTCTCAATGTCCACACTCTACGTCAAATAATTAATATTCCCTTGGGGATCATAGTGTGCATGCTTATATTCTCAGTAGAAGTGTTGACGTGAGTTACTGGACACAATTGATTTTACTGAAAAGATTCTGAATTGTCATGGCCAGTGGATACGATTGGATTACGTCAGTAGCAAACGTTTCTGGATTCTATATCCAACTTATCATGCTACATAGTCATTTCTCAATGTCCACACTCTACGTCAAATAATTAATATTCCCTTGGGGATCATAGTGTGCATGCTTATATTCTCAGTAGAAGTGTTGACGTGATCAGACTTTTAAGTTTTTTGTTTGTCTTAGTAGGACAAACTTAGCAACCTAGTTCCAACTAGACTGAATGCATAGAGTTGCAGAAGAGGTTTCAATGACAAATTCTGGACAATTCTAAATTTGCAATTCAGATTATTATATTTTTTAGACAAAGATGAAAATTTTTTGAGTAGTAATATCATTCCAAGGTATTTTGTTTTTCATTTTTTTAATCTCTAGTTATATTTTATTTATAACTTTTCAAGATTGCAAATTGATGGATACACTGTTTTATTATTGCTTCTGATTATGTCTTTCTATAGGTGGTTTGGAATACAGCTGAATCCTCAATTCATTGGCATGGACCTCAAGTATGTATCCATTTTGTAAAAACTGGAGTTTCTTCTGTTATGAGAGTTTGAGTCTCCTTCTTCATATGCATGGGCAATCATAGTGTGTTCACTTTGCTTGTCTAATTTGCAACTTAATATTTGAAAACCTCATTAGATATCAGATAATGACTGCATTTAACTTAGGTGGAAACACTCCCCATTCCTTTGGAGGAAACAACTTGTTATGGACCATTCCATTTTCCATTTTATTCAAAAATATATTTCACCACTGCTGTCAGATCCCCACCTGGCCTATTTACGTTAGTTATTGGAATCAGTAATATAATGTCTCTAGCATTTTGTCACCATGGATTCAATTGTCTTGTAGATTCTTCTTTGTTAGAGCTGGAATGATGGGATGGCTTCTTATAAATCTTTCCGTTCTTGCAAAATGTATTCAAGAGGGCATCTTAAGCAGATCGATGATTTTTTACCAGCTTTTCTGTTTTGTAAGTGGTGATGTTTTAATTTTCCTGTTTTGAGTACATTCGTGTACTTGTTAAATTGCCTAATACTTGTATCTACTGGCAGCTCTATATTTTGGACTACTTTTTCCATGAAGAGTACATGACCTCCACGTAAGTGTATTTTTTCTTTTCTTTAAACTATGTTGTCAGCTAATCTGGTTTATTCAGTTTATGTAATTGTTGCATCATATTACTAAGCTGTTCTTCATTGGTTGATACCATGTGGTCATATTGATTTATAGCCAATCCTTTTATGTGTGAAGAACTTTCTTGTAGAACATTTACCCAGGAAGTGGTTACTTACGGTGACCTCCTCCATCTTCCTTTTAGATGAACTCCTTTACTAGAAACAACACTATTTTCCATTTATAGATTTTGCATCTAACTGTAAGGCTGGCATATATTGTGAATGGAACTATCTACAAAGATGTTAACTATCCATGCTGTTTGAACTATGATGCATTGCAACTTTATTTATTTATTTTGATAAACATTGCTTTTGTTAACTGTGTGTCCATATTTTCCGTTCAGCAATGCTAAAATGAATCATCACCGTTCTCGTTTAGTGTTTGATCTGGTATGAAGACTCACCTGAGCATATTCATGTACTTATTGTGTTTCAAGACATTATTTACTGTGTTAAGAGTTTGATAAGAACCTGAATTGATGGAACAAACTCGTTTACCTAAGAAGAGTAAACTCAATGGAAATGAGTGAATTTTATTGAATTGAACGTAAACTGTGACTCCAACAAACCAGAGCATTCGAGAGGCTCTGTACTCTCCTACCAGACTCCTGATTTTTCTCTGCTGTTACCTGCCCCTCCCCTTTACATTTATTGACAATTTCCCTGACTGACTCACTACTCTCCCCCCTAACAAAATAACAGAATAACAACTGCATGCTTAATTAATTCGAGAGGCCCTTACTCCTTTTTGTGTATTTAAAAATCACTGGGGGTCTATTAATACCCCCCCTTCAAAATCCACCTTGTCCTTAAGGTGGAAGTTTGGAAATTGCTGGCGGATGTTTTCAACTGACTCCCAGGTGGCTTCGTAGTCTGAAGAGTTCTTCCACTTGATCAGAACTTCAGGACCCAAGGCTGAACTTGCTGAATTAGAACAGAATTGTAACACTCTCTCCAGTTCCACTCTGCTCGAGGTCTCCACAGCAAGGTGTTCTGGTAATTCTGAAACAGTTTGAGTATTCCCGACAGCCTTCCTGAGCTGCGACACATGAAAAACCGGGTGGATAGCTGACTCCGGTGGAAGTTTCAATTTGTAAGCAACCTGCCCCACTTTGGCCTGAACTTCAAAAGGCCCATAATATTTGGGAGAAAGTTTTGCTGATGATCTCTGAGCCACAGACTTCTGACGGTAAGGATGCAATTTCAAATATACCAAGTCCCCAACTTTCAACTAGAGATCACGGCGATGCCCATCGCTTCTTGCTTCATTCGTTGTTGGGCGCGCAAAAGTTGCATCTTGAGGTGCTGGAGGACTTCATCCCTGCTGACCAAGGATTGTTCTATTGAGGAAACTACAGTCATTCCCTTCTGAAAAGGCATAACCGGCGGAGGATCAAAACCTTACACAATCTGAAGGGGAGTCTGCTTCAAGGCGGTGTGAAAAGAAGTATTATACCAAAATTCTGCCCACGGTAACCACTGCCCCCATGATCGTGGCTTACTTGAAGTAAAACAACGCAAGTATGTCTCCAAACACCGATTGACGACCTCCGTTTGGTCGTCGATTTGTGGATGGTAGGCTGTACTCCTTTTAAGGACTGTCCCCTGAGCCCGAAAAAGCTCCTTCCAGAACTTACTCGTAAAAACTCGATCCCTGTCTGACACAATAGACTGTGGAATTCCATGCAACTTAACAACTTCTCGTATGAAGACTTTAGCCACTACTCGAGCTATCCGTTTGTAAGTTTTGAGAAATCCCGAATGACCACCGATTCTCGAGTCGTGATATTCCTGTAGGACCTTCTCAATGAATGGGGATGATTTCGGTAACACTAATCTGCTTTGTAACACAAAGTCCCATCCACCACCGAATAGCAGTTTGGTCCCCTCCACTTGATTGTATGTGGGCAATGATTTTGCTTAACTCTTTGTCCCTTGCTATTGCTGTTTTTACCTCATCCACTTCTAACACCCGGGGCCTTGATATTTCCAGAAAACTCACTATGGGTCCCATTCTTGAGAGGGCATCTGCAGCTCTGTTTTTCATACCGGGCCGATATTGAATTTCAAAGTCAAAGCCAAGGAGTTTAGTCAACCATTTCTGATGTTCTTTACAAACTAAGCGCTGCTCCAGAAGAAATTTCAAACTTCGCTGATCAGTCCTTACTATAAAATGTCTGCCCAGTAAATAGTGCCGCCACTTCTGAGAGGAAAACACTATGGCCATCAATTCCCGCTCATAAACTGATTTGTGTCTAGCACTCAACGGAAGCACCTGGCTGAAGTAGGCAATGGGATGCTGTCCTTGCATTAAAACAGCCCCCAACCCGTGGCCCGATGCATCGGTTTCCACCACAAATGCTTGGGAGAAGTCGGGTAAGGCAAGAACGGGCATTTCAGTCATTGCTGTCTTCAGTTTGCAGAAGGCATCCTCTGCCACCTCACTCCAGTTAAACCCGTCCTTTTTCAACAATTCGGTAAGTGGCCAAGCAATCACCGCATATCCTTTTACAAAACGTCGATAGTAGTCGGTAAGCCCCAAAAATCAACTTAGCTCCCGAAGGTTCCGAGGCGATGGCCAGCTGCACATTGCCTTTATCTTAGACTTATCCGCTGATACTCCTTGTCCCGATATTATATGGCCCAAGTATTCCAATTGAGGCTGTCCAAAAGTGCACTTCTTCTCATTTACGTATAGCTTGTGTTGCTGTAAGCATTCCAAAACAATGTCCAGATGTTCCTGATGCTCCCTCAACGAAGCACTGTACACTAAGATGTCATCAAAAAAGACCAGAACAAACTTTCTGAGATAGGGTCGAAAGACCTCATTCATCAAACTTTGGAATGTTGCCGACGCATTTGTCAGCCCAAACGGCATGACAAGGAATTCGTAGTGGCCTTCATGAGTACGGAAAGCCGTCTTTGGCACATCATCCGGTTTCATTCTTATCTGATGGTACCCCGATTTAAGATCCAGCTTTGAAAAGATGGCTGCCCCATGAAGTTCGTCCACCAATTCATCGATCACTGGTATAGGAAATCTATCAGGGACGGTGACCTTGTTCAACGCTCGGTAGTCTACACAAAAACGCCAGCTCCCATCTTTCTTTTTTACCAACAAAATTGGGCTAGAGAATGGGCAGCAACTGAGTTGGATTATCCCAGCCTCCAGCATGTTTCGCACCAATTTCTCAATTTCATTCTTCTGGAAACTCGGATAACGATATAGCCTAACGTTAACCGGGACTGCCCCCACCTGGAGCACAATCCCATGGTCATGGGATCGTGATGGGGGAAGCTCATTAGGCCACTCGAAGACTTGGTGATGCCGCCGCAATACTTCAGTAAGCTCGTCAGGGCCCTTGCTCACTTTCTCTTCGTTTCCCAAACTCATACTTCCCAGCTCCAACAATACCCCTTGGTCACCCTCTTTGAAGTTTCTGAATATCGACTTAATAGAGACCTGGGTCTTCTGCAGGTTAGTTTCTCCCTGCAGTAACACCTCACGCCCATCGACCTTAAATTTCATCGTCAACCTCCCCCAATCCACCTGCATTTGTCTCAATGTTCCCAACATCAGACTTTCAAGTTTTTTGTTTGTCTTAGTAGGACAAACTTAGCAACCTAGTTCCAACTAGACTGAATGCATAGAGTTGCAGAAGAGGTTTCAATGACAAATTCTGGACAATTCTAAATTTGCAATTCAGATTATTATATTTTTTAGACAAAGATGAAAATTTTTTGAGTAGTAATATCATTCCAAGGTATTTTGTTTTTCATTTTTTTAATCTCTAGTTATATTTTATTTATAACTTTTCAAGATTGCAAATTGATGGATACACTGTTTTATTATTGCTTCTGATTATGTCTTTCTATAGGTGGTTTGGAATACAGCTGAATCCTCAATTCATTGGCATGGACCTCAAGTATGTATCCATTTTGTAAAAACTGGAGTTTCTTCTGTTTTGAGAGTTTGAGTCTCCTTCTTCATATGCATGGGCAATCATAGTGTGTTCACTTTGCTTGTCTAATTTGCAACTTAATATTTGAAAACCTCATTAGATATCAGATAATGACTGCATTTAACTTAGGTGGAAACACTCCCCATTCCTTTGGAGGAAACAACTTGTTATGGACCATTCCATTTTCCATTTTATTCAAAAATATATTTCACCACTGCTGTCAGATCCCCACCTGGCCTATTTACGTTAGTTATTGGAATCAGTAATATAATGTCTCTAGCATTTTGTCACCATGGATTCAATTGTCTTGTAGATTCTTCTTTGTTAGAGCTGGAATGATGGGATGGCTTCTTATAAATCTTTCCGTTCTTGCAAAATGTATTCAAGAGGGCATCTTAAGCAGATCGATGATTTTTTACCAGCTTTTCTGTTTTGTAAGTGGTGATGTTTTAATTTTCCTGTTTTGAGTACATTCGTGTACTTGTTAAATTGCCTAATACTTGTATCTACTGGCAGCTCTATATTTTGGACTACTTTTTCCATGAAGAGTACATGACCTCCACGTAAGTGTATTTTTTCTTTTCTTTAAACTATGTTGTCAGCTAATCTGGTTTATTCAGTTTATGTAATTGTTGCATCATATTACTAAGCTGTTCTTCATTGGTTGATACCATGTGGTCATATTGATTTATAGCCAATCCTTTTATGTGTGAAGAACTTTCTTGTAGAACATTTACCCAGGAAGTGGTTACTTACGGTGACCTCCTCCATCTTCCTTTTAGATGAACTCCTTTACTAGAAACAACACTATTTTCCATTTATAGATTTTGCATCTAACTGTAAGGCTGGCATATATTGTGAATGGAACTATCTACAAAGATGTTAACTATCCATGCTGTTTGAACTATGATGCATTGCAACTTTATTTATTTATTTTGATAAACATTGCTTTTGTTAACTGTGTGTCCATATTTTCCGTTCAGCAATGCTAAAATGAATCATCACCGTTCTCGTTTAGTGTTTGATCTGGTATGAAGACTCACCTGAGCATATTCATGTACTTATTGTGTTTCAAGACATTATTTACTGTGTTAAGAGTTTGATAAGAACCTGAATTGATGGAACAAACTCGTTTACCTAAGAAGAGTAAACTCAATGGAAATGAGTGAATTTTATTGAATTGAACGTAAACTGTGACTCCAACAAACCAGAGCATTCGAGAGGCTCTGTACTCTCCTACCAGACTCCTGATTTTTCTCTGCTGTTACCTGCCCCTCCCCTTTACATTTATTGACAATTTCCCTGACTGACTCACTACTCTCCCCCCTAACAAAATAACAGAATAACAACTGCATGCTTAATTAATTCGAGAGGCCCTTACTCCTTTTTGTGTATTTAAAAATCACTGGGGGTCTATTAATACCCCCCCTTCAAAATCCACCTTGTCCTTAAGGTGGAAGTTCGGAAATTGCTGGCGGATGTTTTCAACTGACTCCCAGGTGGCTTCGTAGTCTGAAGAGTTCTTCCACTTGATCAGAACTTCAGGACCCAAGGCTGAACTTGCTGAATTAGAACAGAATTGTAACACTCTCTCCAGTTCCACTCTGCTCGAGGTCTCCACAGCAAGGTGTTCTGGTAATTCTGAAACAGTTTGAGTATTCCCGACAGCCTTCCTGAGCTGCGACACATGAAAAACCGGGTGGATAGCTGACTCCGGTGGAAGTTTCAATTTGTAAGCAACCTGCCCCACTTTGGCCTGAACTTCAAAAGGCCCATAATATTTGGGAGAAAGTTTTGCTGATGATCTCTGAGCCACAGACTTCTGACGGTAAGGATGCAATTTCAAATATACCAAGTCCCCAACTTTCAACTAGAGATCACGGCGATGCCCATCGCTTCTTGCTTCATTCGTTGTTGGGCGCGCAAAAGTTGCATCTTGAGGTGCTGGAGGACTTCATCCCTGCTGACCAAGGATTGTTCTATTGAGGAAACTACAGTCATTCCCTTCTGAAAAGGCATAACCGGCGGAGGATCAAAACCTTACACAATCTGAAGGGGAGTCTGCTTCAAGGCGGTGTGAAAAGAAGTATTATACCAAAATTCTGCCCACGGTAACCACTGCCCCCATGATCGTGGCTTACTTGAAGTAAAACAACGCAAGTATGTCTCCAAACACCGATTGACGACCTCCGTTTGGCCGTCCGTTTGTGGATGGTAGGCTGTACTCCTTTTAAGGACTGTCCCCTGAGCCCGAAAAAGCTCCTTCCAGAACTTACTCGTAAAAACTCGATCCCTGTCTGACACAATAGACTGTGGAATTCCATGCAACTTAACAACTTCTCGTATGAAGACTTTAGCCACTAGGGTGCCGTGAAGGGATGCTTTAACCCAATGAAATGCCCATATTTGCTGAGTCGATCGACCACTACTAAAAGAGTGTCCCACCCTTCAGACTTGAGCAGCTCTTCGATGAAGTCTAATGAAATGTTAGCCCACACTGGCTTTGGAATCAGCAACGGCTGCAAGAGTCCTTGAGGAGATAAGGACATGTACTTATTCTGCTGGCACACATTGCAGCGGCTCACAAATTCCCTGATATCCCTTTTAATCCCCTTCCAATATAAGTTTTGAGATATCTCGAATGACCACCTACTCCCGAGTCGTGATATTCCTGTAGGACCTTCTCAATGAATGGGGATGATTTGGGTATCACTAATCTGCCCTTGTAACACAAAGTCCCATCCACCACCGAATAGCCAGGTTGGTCCCCTCCACCTGATTGTATGTGGGCAATGATTTTGCTTACTCTTCGTCCCTTGCTACTGCTGCTTTTACTTCATCCACTTTTAACACCCGGGGCCTTGATATTTCCAGAAAACTCACTATGGGTCCCATTCTTGAGAGGGCATCTGCAGCTCTGTTTTCCATACCGGGTCGATATTGAATTTCAAAGTCAAAGCCAAGGAGTTTAGTCAACCATTTCTGATGTTCTTCCCAAACTAAGCGCTGCTCCAGAAGAAATTTCAGACTTCGCTGATCAGTCCTTACTATAAAATGTCTACCCAGTAAATAGTGCCGCCACTTCTGAACGGAAAACATTATGGCCATCAATTCCCGCTCATAAACTGATTTGTGTCTAGCACTCAACGGAAGCACCTGGCTGAAGTAGGCAATGGGATGTTGTCCTTGCATTAAAACAGCCCCCAATCCGTGGCCCGAGGCATTGGTTTCCACCACAAATATTTGGGAAAAGTCGGGTAAGGCAAGAACGGGCACTTCAGTCATTGCTGTCTTCAGTTTGCAGAAGGCATCCTCTGCCACCTCACTCCAGTTAAACCCGTCCTTTTTCAACAATTCGGTAAGTGGCCAAGCAATCTCAGCATATCCTTTTACAAAACGTCGATAGTAGTCGGTAAGCCCCAAAAATCCACTTAGCTCCCAAAGGTTCCGAGGCGATGGCCAGTTGCACATTGCCTCTATCTTAGACTTATCCGCTGATACTCCTTGTCCCGATATTATATGGCCCAAGTATTCCAATTGAGGCTGTCCAAAAGTGCACTTCTTCTCATTTACGTATAGCTTGTGTTGCTGTAAGCATTCCAAAACAATGTCCAGATGTTCCTGATGCTCCCTCAATGAAGCACTGTAAACTAAGATGTCATCAAAAAAGACCACAACAAACTTTCTGAGATAGGGTCGAAAGACCTCATTCATCAAACTTTGGAATGTTGCCGACGCATTTGTCAGCCCAAACGGCATGACAAGGAATTCGTAGTGGCCTTCATGAGTACAGAAAGTCGTCTTTGGCACATCATCCGGTTTCATTCTTATCTGATGGTACCCCGATTTAAGATCCAGCTTTGAAAAAATGGTTGCCCCATGAAGTTCGTCCAGCAATTCATCGATCATTGGTATAGGAAATCTATCTGGGACGGTGACCTTGTTTAACGCTCGGTAGTCTACACAAAACGCCAGCTCCCATCTTTCTTTTTTACCAACAAAATTGGGCTAGAGAATGGCTGCAACTGGGTTGGATTATCCCAGCCTCCAGCATGTTTTGCACTAATTTCTCGATTTCATTCTTCTGGAAATTCGGATAACGATATGGCCTAACGTTAACCGGGACTGCCCCTGCCTGGAGCACAATCCCATGGTCATGGGATCGTGATGGGGGAAGCTCATTAGGCCACTCGAAGACTTGGTGATGCCGCCGCAATACTTCAGTAAGCTCGTCAGGGCCCTTGCTCACTTTCTCTTCGTTTCCCAAACTCATACTTCCCAGCTCCAACAATACCCCTTGGTCACCCTCCTTGAAGTTTCTGAATATCGACTTAATAGAGACCTGGGTCTTCTGCAGGTTAGTTTCTCCCTGCAGTAACACCTCACGCCCATCGACCTTAAATTTCATCGTCAACCTCCCCCAATCCACCTGCATTTGTCTCAATGTTCCCAACCACTTCATTCCCAGAATTAAATCAGTACACCCTAATGTCAGAGGTAAGAAATCATCCACAACCACAAGGCTTGGCAGGGAGACGACTACTCCTTTACAAATGCCCACCCCCTTCACCGACGACCCCGTTCCCACAGTGACCCCATATCCGTTGGTGCCCACAACCGGAATTTGTAGCTTATTTACTAACTCCAGGGAGATGAAATTGTGGGTTACCCCACAGTCAATGAGTACCACCACCGCACGACCCAACAGCACCCCGGTCACCTTCATCGTTTTTGGATTTGTCGTCACCACCACCGAGTTTAATGAAAGTTCCACTGCCTCCTGTACTTCATCTTCCCCTGCCTCTCCTCCCAAATCCGGTGGTTCCTCCTCCTCTTGCACGACAAGAACCTGCAGTTCCCTGTAGCGACACTTGTTACCCGGTTGAAATTTCTGGTCGCATTTGAAGCACACTCTCTTCTCCCTTTTTAACTGGAGCTCTGCATCAGTCAATCTTTTGTAAGGTGTCACCCCCTTCCCCGTCGCCGAACCGCGAGAGACAGGAGTTAGGGGCTTCGGCGGGGCTACTGGACTGCGTTGGATTGGAGTTGTGTTGCCCGTCTGGGAATGTTGGGCGTAGGAGAATGGGCTATAGGTGGTATTGCTTGAATAACTCTTGCTTTTAGTTGGGCCTTGGTGAACTTGGGCCTGGTCAATTGCTTCATTTCGGTCTTCGACCCGTTGGGCCATAACCATAGCTTGGGGCCTTGGGCCAGCCCACGAGGCTTCATCATCCTCACCTCAGTTCTGATAATAGGAGTCAGCCCATTGATGAAATTACTTTCCATTACCTCCTTCGAAAGTGCTGTTAAGTGCGCAACCATGGCTTTAAATTGACACCGGTAATCCCGAACAGAGCTCGCTTGCCTTAGCGCCAAAAATGTCTCCAAGAGTGTCACCTCCTGGGACGGCCGAAAGCGCTCCAACACCAATGTTTTCAGATCCTCCCAGCATCACAGAGGTTGCCTGCTATCTTCCCACTAGAACCACGCCAGAGCTTCTCCTTCAAAACATACAGCCGCGACCTCTATTTTCTCCTCATTTGACAGTTGATTCATGCTGAAATATCTCTCTGCCCTGAAGATCCATCCATCTGGATTATCGCCGTCGAAAATGGGCATTTCTAGCTTCCGGTTCCTGTAATCTGTTC